TTTCACTACATGTCACTCGAAAGCAATACTTTGCAATAAGGTGCAGAATTGGTCAAAATTAACAGACTTATTAACATTGGTGAAAACACAGGGCATTAAATATCTAACCGACAAGGACGGTCCGTCAATGTCAGAAGACAGCATCCTCTGTCGATAGATCAGTCGAATATTAATGGTGCACGAGAGAATAGAAATGAGAAAAAGGCTTTTTGTAGCGCTGCTATACGTGTAGCTTTTTTTAAGGGCTTCAGTTATACCAGTTTCGTGGATGATTTTTGGGAATATAGGATAAAAAAAATTTGCTGCTACTCAAATGTTCGATTTGGGCACGTCTTACCGAACTTACTGAGACTTCTCCTATGGAAACCTATGAACTGGCTTGGTTATCGTATGGTATAAGCATTTGTCAACACTAGAACTTGAATCAGCAATATGTACATCGTTACTGCGGTGGCGCAGTTGGAAAGATGCGCACCAGACCACGTCGCCTACACCACGCCGCCCACCCAAGTAATATTAAGCGATATGGAACAGTAAGTAATACAGCATGAACTGTTCTGTGACGGATCATGTGTAACAATGGTTGTATGAAGACCGCAAAGGTCACTGTGACAAGCTTCCAAGTTCTCAGTGAAGCCTAACGAATTCGTTAACTTCGATTATGTGAGATGCCAAATTTTTATGAGCCTTTGATAAAGCACAAAACGAATACGTTGTCAGTTGCTACACGATAGTTACTATGGGATAGCCATAGTTGAGGTAGAACGTTTGCTTATGTTTCCAGTGGTAAACACCTGCACCTACAGCTATACATTATAAGATTATGATTTTAGCTATTCACTTTCCATAGAGTGGAATGCTCCAGGGTCAAAAAAGCATCGACAAAGCGCCGGCCCTTGTGGACGAACAGCTTGTCTTTAACCAGGCCTGTAGCACTTGCTTTTTGTATCTGAAAACTATATGCTGCGAGATTTACGTCCAGCATCGACGTTAGAAATCGCATCAGACGGCTGGAATCCAGCACGAAACCGACTCTGCCCACGTCCTCGGATTCGAGCTCAGGCCACTACGTGTTCTCCGGATTGTACGCAAGCAAAGCTATGACGAGGCGGGGCTGTTCTGTCTGTCCGTTTGCTATTCACAGACCAAAAAACGTTGAAATGCACTGTTTGTATTTTTGAAACATTTTAGGGTGACTGACTTTGGCCATATTTGTTTTTTTGGGAAGTGAAAGCAGGGTACAATGTATTGGGAACGGAACTGAGTACTCATAAGTAATGCCAGTGATGCAGAACGCTTTTGGGGATTAGCCCAATGCATTAATGGTTTCGTAATGCGATCTCGTAATCGCCCGGACAAGCGGGCTTCAAAGATAACCTCTGTTCTGAGCTACCTGTTGCTCCGTATACGGACGAAAAATGAAAAAAGCTAAACTCTTCTGAGTGGAGCATTTCCTAGTCACTTTCAGCTCGTATAGAGGTTGCACGCCTCATATGAGTTACGTCGATCGGACCATTTTGAAAATCAATTGCCTCACGTCAGTAACAGGCCGAAGAATTTGACTTCACGGCAAACGCAACCTTGTGAATAATTACTTCAACAGAACTTTAATGGACTCAGTCAAAATAGGACCGGATTCCTGCAATGCAGTTAATTGGCCATTGGTGCAGGCGATGAGATGTGAGTACTCGAATTTGGGCAGCGACAAATAGACAATCTTCCCGATCAAGGCTACAAGATTCTGATAAAAGACCGACGTTCTCCTCACCGTTCCTTGCTTTTTAACACCGGTGGGTTACAAATTAATGTCAAATGGTTTTCCCGTTTCCAAGAAACACCAGCAAATATATTCAGAGGATTACGATATGCTGTCACCTCAATGAAGAATAAGCCGTGAAATCTCTGGCGTGATAATGTACATGCTAACACATTCATAAGAACATCGCAACCCCAGTATAAGCAAAGATCTCCGTGGGTGTATCATTTTAACCCCGCATTTATCAGCTCTAATATGCACTAGACCTCTTTGTTTCTTTTCCTTTTCTCACAACTGACGAAGCCCGCATAGGAAGACGATCAAGCAAATCCAACAGAGAAAGAAGCGGAAGATTATCCTTAACATGTATGAGGTCTATTTTGGCGATTAAAATAGTGTTTTAGTGACCGGAGAAACCGGTGCCACATATGCATTACGTTCGACGAGGAGTTACCTAGAAGTAGACATCTGGGTCTGGACGATTGAGGCGTGCACTACTGGTACGAAGCCAATTTTTAGATACTTTTTTATGGATGTCGTTCAAATTAGAAGCTGGATGAATATTTTGTTTCTGTCTCAGTAAATAAAGTACATCACTGATGGTAATGTTTTTCCCAAATTCGTTTGTGTGAATCTAAGTGGCGCAGCTTTAGATCTGCGGAACATCATACGTACACTTCGCATAGATGTGGGCTTCGTAACCAATGATCGAAATCATTGGTTAATTCATATATGTTTTCGTGGATTCTAAAATATGATCACTTAATCGCACGCTTCGTGTTAATTCCATACGGAACCGATCCTTATACTCCAAAATAGCCGCGAAACTGGCCTGAATATAAGCGATTAGCCAATAACGCTTGCTGTAGAAGCGTGGTGCACTTTTCTGCTTTAGTTTACTAGTCTTATATTAATTTCTAGTAGAGTCTATCTCCATCCAGGAGCTGAGATATTGCAGATTTAAAAATAAGGAAATAAAGACGTAGACGTACCATACGATGGCGATATCCCGTTTATTATTATGAAAATGTCAATCACTATGACAGCAATTGCTTTTGGAGGGATCTTCTTGCTTTGTAGAATCTAATTATTAGCCCAGCTTCTATACGGTAATCCATGAAATTGTCTGCACCGACTGGGTAAATACGGTGTTTCTATGACGAGCTCAGAACAGTTACACACGAATTTGTATGGGTAGATCACTGTATTATCTAGTAAATTTCATCGCTATTGTACATGTATATAGGCCGGCTGTTTATACATAGAAGTTCGCATTTATTTTTCGTCTGACATGTATACAACGCAGACTTTAGGTGGATGAGGGCAAAGAAATCGGCAAGTGTCTGTGAAAATGAATATCTCTACGTCTCTGTGTCAAATGAGGTATTTTCGTTAATGTACGGATTAAATTAGTTATTCAGCAGTTGTTTGTACTAAAGGCTTGAACGTGCTATGCCAGTGCTATAGAAAAAGCCCGAGTGACAACAAGAACACGTGCTTTGTACGAAGCAATCGGTTTTTGGGACACATCCCGTGGACTTCGTCAGATCAGTTAATGGAACATTCAGCTGCTAAAATAACCGCAATATTGACAATCGGTCGTTTCATAAAAATCGTGTTTAACAATAGTGCAGTCATGAAGGCTGGCTGTTTGTTCTGAATACGGCTCCATAAGGATGCCCCGCATGCAAGAACTTTGTAAGTGGGCTAGGTTTTAGCAGGTGACCATTGTAACCCTATTGGTGAACTGACACAGTTCAGTCATCGACATGTTAACAAGTACCTTGCACGCGCAGCACTATTGATTTGGCAGTGAAAGCCTCTTCTTGAGTGTCTCCTTTGGAAACTGTTTATTCGATTTAATCACTGTGCGGACAAAAGATAATTACACCGTTCTGATTCATTCGTCTGTCTGTACAGCCACCCGCGTGTTGTATGCGAAGTACTGGTTTTTAAACACTTGCTGGAAAAATCGAATTGGAACTCCGTGACACCCATAACCTTCGGTGTAGTATATTTTACTTTGAAATTACTTTTTAACCATAACAGCATTACGTATTAAACTACCCTTTTATTAGACTGTGTACAGTTTAGAAACTAAAGATAGCCTGCTCTTCCGCATCAATGTAACTAGGACAATTGACTATTTAAGGTAACTTGCGAAGGTCCTACGTAAAAATACCCCACACTGCGAAGGGATGTGGGACGAGCGCAGTCTTACCTGTAATTCAATCACGTCCCAGTTGCTAATAACTTCTACGCTAGATTTTCTTACTTTAATTATTGTTTCATTTCCATGCGTTCGCAGGTACGCATGCTCTTATTGTGGTAAGTGTACATATGACAGAAGTATTGGGTTTTTCCTTGCACCTGTGTCTGTGGCCTTAAGTATCTCCGGCCTGTCCTTTCCACCATCGGGGGTCATTTCCACAGCGGCCGCTACTACGCTCTTTATCATCATCCTTACTGGCCTCTTATCACGAATGTCATCAACAGGCTTCACAATCAACACAATACTGCCAGCGCCACTTATATGTAACATTTCGTATTGCCGCCGTTACGCCACTACAGCCGCCGGCAGCAGCGGGATTATTGCATCGAAAACAGCCATCCAGAGCCTGACTGATGAATGGCGACTTGCAAAAACAGATTTTGGACGTGCTGGGGCCGCTGCTGGATACATACTAACAGCAGCAGCGCGACCAGGCCATAATACAACACTCGCTCCGTTTTGGGTCCCTGCCAATGTTGCTATGCACGAGCTGCCTATGACCTGTTACTTAGCAAGCTGCCGTTCCAGTGTCAGACGACGACCGTCTTCCCTCACCCTCGTCTGTGTCCCCACCCGACCCCAGCCCGCCCTCACTGTTCTTTTTGCCACACTGTCATTCACGCTCATTTTCGTCAGTTTACTTAAGTAGAGCAGCGGCTACTGCTGCTGCGGTGGCCGGCTGCTGCTGCTGCGAGCAGCAACAACAACAACAACAACAACAGCAGCAGCAGCGGTAGCAGCAGCAGCAGGCAAAGCTAAGCAACGAAATCAGTGAGTGAGCAGAGGCAAGGCATCGCGACTGGCTGTGGAACGGCGCAACAGCAGCAGTAGCAGCAGCAGCGCCGCCGCCGCCGCCGCCGTCGTCGTTGTGATTTGAAGTCGGTGCGATACTGCAGGGCTTTGCGCTCTCACTTACACATCCTGTTGTGTGAAATTGCCAGCTACGGTTGCATAGTTCCTGCTGCAGCCACAGCAGCAGCGAATAGCCTGCTGCGTTGAGGTGCCGCAGCAAATCGTCGGCGGTGCTCGACTGGAATGGATGCTGCTGCTGTTGCTGCTGCTGCTGCTGCTGCGCAGCAGCAGCATCGAAGGCAACAGCAGCAGCACTCGTAACTGAATAATCCTAGTAACCAATGTATTGTTGATAGGTGGCGGCGGCGGCGGCCCTGGGGCTTTGACCAATGTGAAAAAGTAACGACAAATAACAACAGCTGCCGGTGAAACGGTGGCCAGGGAACGACTACTCCGAAGCATGGTCGAGTGGTGTTCGCTTTGGGTCTAGATTCGATTTGTTTGTTCATAATAACTTATATGAATCTGCATGTGTGAGCGTAAATATAGACGAAAGCTGGCTGCCACTTAGTTTACGAGTATGTGCAACGGTGAAAACACAGATATATAAAGAAGACTTCATTGTGATTGACTGGATTGAATTATTGGTAAAACAGTTCAGTTAGTTTTGGAATAACATAGGTATTGTTGTCTGTCTGTGCGTGCATTGCTGATGAACCACCCGCCGACCACGACCGCTGTAACATCCGCTGCAGAAAAAAACAACAGTTGTGCCGAAGGTACAGAGATTTGCTACTTTTTTTTTTTTTTTTTTTTTTTTTTAAATCTGTTTATCAATAACAAACGAAGAATTGTTCCTTCCCTGTTACTAACACGCTCATCCGTAAGGCTAACGTATCACGTTGACTGTTGTTCACTATGAGACGAATGGAAGATAAGAAAAACGTGAGCACTCTGTACACTGCTTATTCCGTTTGAGCTGGTACATTTGGTAATACAAACGTTAATAAACATGCTCCTTTCTCAGAGCTTTGGGTGACTTATTGTTCTGAGGAGATTACATATACATATATATCAGCTCTGTTTGCGGCATTAAGTTTACCACCTTCGTTAGTTTGAAGTGACTCAGATTGCCAGAGTATAAAATTGAGTGAACTGCAAAATAGCTTTTATAGTACATCAGTCCTGCGGTATTAATGCTGTTCGCCTCTGTAAGTTTATTGGAACTTGTAAATTTTACCATGGTTTGTGCAGCGTCGAGAGGATAACTTTTGTGCTATCGGAGGTCCGTGATCCCCGTGGTGCATGAGCCTGTCGTGGTGGGTTCATTTTTCAAAATAGACGAGGGCAAAATCGGTTTTTGGTGGTAAGTGTATTTCTGTTAGGTCTCAACTAACCGGCGTTGGCTGTTTACGATATCCAAGCATAAAAAAACTGCTCGTACTTATTTCAGCCTGTTATAGCCTGCGGCCCTCCACTTAAATGCGCCAGAAAACCTATGTCGAAGTAAAACATATATTTTATAAGCTTAAAATTGAGCCGTAACTCATTATAGGAGGAAGGCAATACTAATGATATGTGTTTATTAGTATAGGCTAATAGAACTGGGCCGAAAAACCCGTTTCATCTACTTTAATTAATAGAAGTTTTTTTACTTTTATAGCGGCTTTAGTGGGTCGATTTCGTCCAGCAAATAAGGCTACATTTCTTACTACTACAAGTGTATATAATACTTGGATGAATTTATCATTCAATGAAATATTATATAGGTACTAATTCTCGTAGTTTACCTATACGAAATCAATAGACCTTGAAAAGAAACGTTTTCGCCATGGGTTCCAAGTAGTGCATTATTGTGTATTCAACTCAGTGTTCAGCTTCGACTTAACAAAATATCGGCGTTAAAAATTCTAAACGTTCAAGTCTCTTTTTTTTTTTTTTTTTTTAAATAACAGTTATCTCTGCAATATTAGAGCTAAACCATAAAGGTCACTGTCAACACACATAAGATAAATAAATGTCAGCGACCGGTAATTGCTTTGACACCTACACACAAAATACGTAAATAAAGTTTTTTTCTTTATCTGAGACAACTGAATCTTTGAACAGAGATGTCCTCAGTGTAGATCTTGACAACAGACGACGATCCGTCGACCCTTTACGCCTGCGAGATTGTTGGGTACCAGTATGTATTTGGCAAGTAAGCTACTAGTTCCCAATTATAAGGAGATTTAGCATTTACACTACCTACGTTTAAACTATTTATTAGTTTTAGTGAATAATTTTAGCAGAAAGCCGACAACTTCGTTTATTGGGTTAATTTGTTATATATGATAACGAGTAGGTCGTAAAAAAGCCTTGTCAACGTTTTTTTTTACGAATTTATAAACGCTTGCTAAGTTTAACACAGGATCTCTAGTATGAATATTTTCACTCTGTGAAATTTTGAAGTTATTTATTGACGTGCAATTGGTACTACTCGTTTAGCTGGCCTGACACTGTTTGGTGGCCAACATATTTGCATCAGTTAAAGTGTAAGTAAGCTTTGTGTGGCTGTCCAATAGGCGGAGTCACGTTCATACTCGAATATCGATTACCACGTACCACGTATTGCGTGTATCATATCTTTGTTACTACACAAAGTTCCTAATAAATACACCGTATGAAGAAAGGAGTTCGGATCAGTGTTCCTTAAGCTGAGCCGTTCCTGCCAAAAGCCCAAACCGAAAGCTCCGCTATCGACCCTATTTCGCATCTGCACGACGAGGCAACAACTAAGCAACGAATAAATTCAAGCAAGTCCTAGTTTAAGAATGCAGGCATTGACCTCGGCCTTGCGTTGCCGCCGTCCTTTAACCTGTAAACGGATTTGTACCGGGTAGGTGCAAACAAACTGAGCAGTCATGGAGCATACTTACGGTCACCAGGCAGCTGCATTGGGACGTCGTCTGTCGTGACATTTTGCCGAACTTCAAGGCTCGCTCCTAAGAATAGTTTAAAGAAATGTTTCGCTTCTAGTCTCTGGCCTATTCGCGGCCAGACAACGATGGAAATGGCTTATTATAAGACCTGCTAACAGCAGGAACATCGACTCTGCATTGCGATAGGCAGGGTTAATTCAATACTGCTAGAGAAACGATCGCGATAACAGAGATCGTCATCTATGAACGCTCGGTCGTATCTCAGCACGTCTCAGTGAAGGCTGATCCTGTTTGGTAGTAAATTGAAAATTCTCATGAATCATTGCTTTATGACATCATATGTATTACGAAATCTAGGAGAGTGCTTACGTTGTTTATGTTGTGTATGGGTGTTTCCGCGTGTGTGTGGGCGCGTGTGACCCCTATGAAGCCCAAACTAGGTCCATAAAAATAACTTACTTATATTGAAGAACCACCTAGATATTACATCCAAATTAAAGGGAGCGTTGCAAATTGCTTGCCGCATCCGCGCAATATCTATCAGCCATCGTGGTCTTTCTGTCACCGCTACTGTCTAAGTTTGAGGCTTACACCACGAACTTACAAATCGCTGACGATAAATCTGTCTAACTACACCAGACAGGCTACCAACAGACATCGGTGGCCGAATACGATGCAATGTACTTTGAGCACGAACGGTAAGACTCTATATGATGCTTTATGATGAAGGGACGGTATCGTAGAGGATTAGAAAGATCTGAAAGTTTTAGATTGATCTTGGTCAAGTCATATACCATACGGTGTAGAAAGTCATTGTGTTATACTACAGTTTGCGTTGAAGACCTCAATTTAAAAGTCACGATCTAAGAAAAGCCTTGGATCCGCAGCTGTTTTAACGGTATTTCATCAGTCTGACTATGCGCATCTGTATTGCCTCTATTCATATTCACTTTTCAATCAACTCTTAGGGCTTATTGCAACTCTATGAGTCAGCCATTATTTCCGATATATTTTGCGACAAAATATGACAGGACTAAACCAGCTTCTGCATTTCTGTCCTCGATGCATTTTTTTTTTTGTGATTTAAGAGGGCCTAAATGATCCCCCATCTATTCGCTAGATCGCAGAATGCACTTCGATGTCAAATGCAGCCAGACGTGCAGCCAAACCTTTTCCCCATAAAATGAAATGTTTGAGTTTTCCATTTCCGACTTGACCTTGACATTGTTGTTATTGTACTAGGCAGCCGAGGAACCGCTTGAGTTGGTTCTTCTTGCCAAATAGCAGCTGTATGCTTGATAGTGAATATACATACGCGTAGATTGGATACCCTAGAGGCCCTGGCGTTGCTTTTTTGGCGTAACTGTACCATTCTAGATATAGGGGACTTCTAATAGTTGCTTCTTAGACGTCCGTTTATAGCTGTTTACCCTGTTGTGGGCGCTCGAATGTATGTGTAGCATCGTAGCTGGATGTATGTGTGAATATGTCCGAAATCCACGTTTGTCCGAGTATCGTTTAGCCAGGTCCGGCCCGACACGTAGCTTGTGCTGCAAAGTCGTCATTGTACATAGACAGTACGCTTGCCAGTTGACGACGTCACTACAAAGTTTCAATAGATTATAAAGATCAACTTATAAGGCTGCTCTTTTTTTAGTGGCCATATATTCAGCCCATGCCACGTTACTTCTGAGTTTCGTCCTTGCTACGCGTTTAAATAGAGTAGACGTACAAAGTCAAATCGTATAGATATGTACCAGTTACCTGTACACTGTGATCTGTGTAGGTGCGTTCTGAAAAGTAGAGAGATTCGTTTCTATGTTAAGGTCGTAGAACCGACAGGTCTTGGATACGGACAAAGCGTCCTGTTGTGGTGTAGTTGTATAAAACGGTGATTCAAAGCGCATGAGCTCGACCATTTAAAAACTGTTACAATGAAGATGTTCTGCATGCTAATGATATCATTCCCGGAACGAATGTTCGCAAATGTGTACCGGATAGCGTTACCAACTAGTTCTGTGTTAACTAACACAGGCGCTTTGACCTCGTTTCACGCTAATTAATTAAATAATAGTGCGGATACTTCACTTTGGTGGTACTCATACAACACTCGTGTAATAACCTGTTAATATTGTAACGAAAGCGATCGTTTAAAAAATGTTCATGTTTTTATTTTATTAAAAAACGGTACAATCGTATTTCCGAAACCTTGATTTTCCGACCGTTGTAGTCAAAGGAAAAACAGACCCCGTAAAAGACGTTTTTAAGTGTCACATCACCTCCCAACTGATGATTATATATATATCCAAACAAACCTATTTTTTATTAGAGGCTGTACTTGTCGTCATGCAAAAACGCTGCAACGGTGATTTAACTAGTCAGAGCGAAAAACATCGCTGACCTGTGCCTAGACGCAGTGGATCGTATCTCAATCAGGCTATACATTCGCTATCTTTGTGACCTATTAATTGTACAGATAAAAAAATGTTTGGGAATCTAAATAAGGAGTTCATAAAGCAAAATCTATTCTTACATTTAGACCAATTGCTATTGAATCCTAGGTAGATTATTAGGTTGTTCTGTATAATCAATTTGAAAATATTCTTTTTTGGTGGCCCCAAGCTAAGCCTAAACACATCAAGGTAACATACATTTTAGAAGTCATTGGTACTTTTGTGAATATTACGTCGACCGCGTTTACGTTTCTAAAATTGAACGCGTTTACTCAAAAGTATAATTATTAATTAGTAAGCACGAATGAATACGAGAGGCCTAGTAAAAATTACGTAAATGAATTTCATTTTCGCCGATCATTGTATCAGCAATTCAACTGAAGTATCGCGGTAATAACGCGGAAGTATGCATGATAGGTATGGATAATTGATTCGTTATTATAGTGGTTAGATGGATACTGTCGTACGTCAACGCTACGAGAACGAAAGTTTCAGCTCAGCATATGTGATAAAGCTATTGCACTTTCAGAGAAACCTCAAAAGATGTAAATTACGAGGGCACTCTGCTTTCGATAACTACGATTTGCTAAATACGAGAAACGGCGGTCGGCGATATCCCATCACCTTCGATTCTATCGGAATCAGTGCAAGGCAGAACGGACTGTCAGGCTCTACGTTTAGCTGAATCAGTACATTGTATTAGCAATGTTCAAGGTATAGAACTGCTTGGCAGTGTAGCTCTTTCCAGTTCCATAGATTATTCAGCTATGGTGACTACTGAGACAAAATGAAAACGATTTAGGACGGGAGTAGCAAAGCGCATGCTCATCTTCCTCCCCCCAGCTTTGCTCCGTGCTCTAAGTCACCTCTGTAATTAGTTTGCAAGCCGACGCGGCCTTTTCGTACGTCTGTCTCGTGCCAATTGCGAGTCGAGAGAACACTTAATGCAGGGTGAGGCCCTGCTTCTGCCTTCACGGATGTGGCCAGCCTTAGCCATGCGCTCGTTTTAGTTAGAGCTCATCATATATTAGGGCATTGGATGTTTGCGAAGAATTGCATTTGGGAAGTATCATTGTCTCGTTGTGCCAAGCAAAAAAAATATCGTTTTTACTTAATGGCAAGCACTTTTGTTCTCGCAGAGGAACGTCCGAATCGTTATGACCGAATTAGATCACAGTGTGGTAAATTAAGAAACTAGGCGAGTTCAAGCGACGCTGTATAACTCAATTGTGACAACATGGCTGCCATATATAGGGATTTGTTAGTCCAAACAAGAGGACAATAGAATGGGTATCTGAACAAAACCACATTATGGTCTCAAAATAGCGCCACTGTCGTTCAGCCAGAGACCGCATTCTGTATCGCACATCGCTAAGGTCTGAGCACATTGCTGCGACGAGACAATTCAGCTGAGTGAACTTAGCAGATGACAAAGCTGGATAAGTTCTGGCCAGTTCTTATAAAAGTGTCAATTTTTATATTGTTGTTTTCTAGGACAGGAGCGTCGGACTTTAAACGACTCGAATCGCGAAGAGTTAGAAGGCTCGTATTGCAAGATGTCCATTAACAATAACCCATCAAAGCAGCCTCCTCCAGGAAAAACCCGCTGGGGTCGCGATCGACTGCCCCACAAGCAGACGGCCAACGGATTTTCACTATGGAGTATTTTAAAGAAGTGCTTTGGGAGGGTACGTATTGATCAGTAAGTGGTAAACGTACATGCTATAAACTGTGCTAACACAAAATATAGGTACGTTCAATCGTCCGCTCTTTGTTAAGAGATGAAATTGCTGCTGGTCAAATTGAATAAAAATAGATCTTTCGCCTCAGAGGTTTATTGCCAGCCATAGCTGATGATGCACCACTTGCAGTGGTTCCTAGATAAAGTTCCATTTCGGGTTTAGCTTCAGTTAGGTGCATTTTATTACACCGTCTACCTGATACCATTAACTTCAGGTTAACTTCCAGAACAGTCATTCGATCTCCTGCCGGCTCATCTGTTGATGGCTAAACCGTAGGAGTTCTATCGATCTATCTCACCCTTCTCAGACACGTCCCTTTGAAAGAGACTTCGAGGGTCTATAAACTGTTCAACATGTGTCCTCTTTGGTCATTAGGAAGTAAAAAGATCGTGTAGTCTAACGTGATAATACCAACCTTGCGAGCATCCTAAGGCATTCAGTGATGTGAACATAATAACGGTCGAAAAAAATAACCTTGTCGGTATTGGTCTACTTAACAACGGTCTTATAATGATATTCTACAGAACAATGAACATTTTAGAGAACGTAGAAACAAAGCATCGTTTAAGCTACAGCTATAAATTGATGTATGTTCAAACTGTAAAGTTAGCTGTCCCTGATTCAAAATCAATGATAGGTTGTATAGCAGAAAACAGAACAAGTAGCCATAATAGAATATCAATAGCATTTCGTATTTGTTCGTATCGTTCCTTCTTTAGAGAACTTAGCACTCTTATAAGCAGACACTTCGATGCGAACGGCATTCGCGTTTAAGATATTTTTGCCTTACGGGAACTTGCTCCTATTGATGGGTTAGAAATACAGTTTGAGGATAGCTAGTTTTTGTATGTAGTTGGCTTGGAATCGTCAAACGCAAACGATCTGATGGAGTTTTCAATAACCGTAAACAACGTTAAAGTTCATAAATCGACATAGCCGTTTATATTTGAAGTGAGCTAACTTGTAGCCTTTCGGTAAACGCAATCTATCTATTATTTGACAGGAATTATATAAAGTTGCAATGCCGGTGGAGTTCAACGAACCGCTGAGTTTCTTACAAAGAATGACGGAAACGTTCGAGTATGCTGGACTGCTAGAACGAGCCGCAACAAAAGATGACCCAGTTGAACGGATGCAGGCACGTACACACAGGCTACACACTGACCTTTTCGTGGACCCAAATGGGCCTGACCAACGGCATCGATTAGATAGACTTATGATTACACTGTCTAATGGGGGCCAATTTTATTACGGCACTTGAATTAGACCCTGCCTCGTTCTACTATTTACACAATATTCAGTATCGGCTGCGACTCTTGCTTTCATTCCAGGGAATCCGTTAAATTGTAAAATCTCAAGTTACCCAAAAACAGTGTCATTACTATGGATGCTATTACAAAATCCTTGTCCAAAAAAAAACACGCGGTTAGTGTGTATTAATCATGTATAATTACTACAAAGTCATTGTCTTGATATAAACCATTTTGCCTAACACAGCCTATGATCGGCCAGGTATATCTAACCTATTTACTCATACCACATATATATTCTGGCGCTTATCAGCCTAAAGAGAGCAGTATCTGCTTGGAGCAGCTTCAACTATAGGCGGGCTCGTCAGAGATCTAATAGCTACATTCGCCATGTAGCAGATACTTATTCAATTTATATTCAATTGCAGTTGGTGTCTGCATTTGCTATTGCGGCACTGAGCTCAAATCTCGATCGACTTAAGAAACCGTTTAACCCACTTCTCGCCGAAACCTACGAACTCGATCGGTAGGTGTCATACGATTTCCATATCGTAGAGTAGTTAGCTTAGTACAATCAACAATATATCTTACAATTTAATCAAACAAGGCGAGATTTCCATGAAGGTACAGTACAACGTAGGGTAAGATTTATCCCGGCGATGTGGTAAAAGGCTCAATTAAACATATGAGGTACATTTAAATTAAATCTTCTTGGATAAATCAGTGCTTCGAAACGACTGCGTCCGAACCAGCAGATAGTAATTGCCATATAGATAAACTCGAACCTATCAACTGTAAGTAACTTTATTTCTGTTGTTGTACTTACCGCTACCAGTGATGATAAAGCCATTTCGAGGGCATTAGTTACGTACGTAAATGATAGCGTAATCAATTTGACTATGCATGAAAGCTTTAACTTCTACGTAGATTTTTAGTTACATAACGTTACACAAACATACTTAGTTAGCTAACCGGATACCTTGTTGAAGCTACCTATCACGTACTTTGTAAGGACACTGGAATGGTACGACCTTGTTTACAAAGCATACTATATAACGTGAATGTACTTATAGAAATATTCTATTCACATAAAATCATATTGAGATATATCAATATAAGAAGCTTAAAAGGATTTTACACAATTCTCTCTGTTCTTTGGAAGAAGTCAATCAAGCCCAGAATGAATTAGACTATTCTAAAAACTCAACAGGCGCACTATAGCTAAACTGTAACTATTTCTCAACAGAAGCTCGTCTAGAATACGTTGGCTAGACTGATATCCTGCTATTTCATTAGAACCCCTGGGTCACCACGGCGTTACGATCCGCCGCTGTATAAACACACTGGTTGCTCATTGGCCGTTGCTAAGCTATATCTTGGTTTCCAAACACCATTTGACCGACGTGCACTGAATAGTTTGGCCTATACGACGTTCAGGCGAGGATCGTTGGTCTTGCCTGGGTAGACCGTTCACTTGTGGTACGCTGCAGGCCGAGCGAGCAGAATGGACAGAAAGCAGCAAATACGACAGAGTGCAGACAATAAAGGCTTTATTTGTGATTTATTTCTATGCTTGCCAGGGTAGCCAGCCGGCGTTTTGGCACTATGCAATATGTCAAAGAACATCGACATAATTGAAGTATTAAAAGTACCCCGGGGTGCTTTGCTGTATTGGCTTACTACAAAACAGGATGTTAGAGCCATTCGTCCGAGGACGAATTAGAAATACAGACAGCCTTTGTGTTTTTGAATTTGTACTGATTCGATCGTGCAGCTTTTCCTGTTGCAAGTACACTTCTAATTTTCTCAAGGCCGTGTTCTGATAATTTTCATACGATCCATAACTTATGTCGATGTAGGAGGGCACAGACTGTTTACGTGGCGTAATAAAATGGCGACTGACACGCAGCGGCAAGGAAAAGTTAAACAACTTTACCTACGAAGTAGGGTTATGGCGAAAAGTGATCATGGTGATGGTTGAAGGTCACCTCTGCACATATGGAATCTCAAGCGAGAATTGCTTCGAATTCTCTTAGTCTCAAAGATCTACATATGTATGAAATGTTTATGATACAGCTAGCGATTTTAGCTGGTAGGTTATCTCACAACGATAGAAGGTTGTTTCAACTTCCGGGTAAGTACAGGACGTTCACTCACGTCTCGGGTTATCACCCCTCCCGACGAAATCTTTGATATAATTTGATCTATTCCATTGGAATACTTAGACTAATCAAAAAGATCATCTGTCACAGTTCATTCTTGTTATCTACTATGCTGTTTCGTTAAAGGTAAGATTTCTATGCTATAGTGTAGCAATTCAGTCAGCCATTCCCATCTGACCGTAATCTAGCGTTCGATACGCTGGCGCTGGCACAAGGATTTATGTATAGTGTAGTTTTCAGTAATGTTGACTAAACATAGTAGCAGTGGCATCAGTCTCGTAAGTGGGTGTAAGCTGGTAATGGTCGATGCAATGTTGGTTAGCAGCGAGACGAGGTTCCATGCCAATAGTGAATGATCCGAGCATTCGATCAGAATGAAAATGATACTGAACCCGTACTGAAATGAATATAAGAAACGTTTGAAGGCGCCAATATCGTACTGGCGAAACAGCGCAACGGTAACGAGTAGCAACTGGATATGTTAAGCATCTCCGGAACCGGGATGATCGTATCCCGCGCTACAATATGGCTTTACGTTCGATGGAACCGAATCGCAGGTAGTAATCGTGCTCGAACTGCCTTTGCCGATGAATTTATTTTGTATTTTTTAGCCAAACTGGAAAAACTAACACGGTACGAGAAGGATGGAAAAATATCATAAATAAAAAAAATAAAATCGTTAATCGAATTAACAGCCTCTTCAGATAGGTTTTCAGTTAGTATATATTTATACACTGTCCCTCATTAGGTCGACGGCATTCAACAATTGCGTTTCTATGTTGCCCCCAATGTCAGCTCCGGAAATATATAACATTTTTACCATCCAATTTGTTCTTTTTCTTTTTAGTAAGACTAATAAGAGTGGCGCGACTTCGAGAAGATTCTTGACAAAGAAATTATGCTTTTATCATCTGACTTCTATAGTAGACTAGCAGTTTCTGAACCAACCGCATAAACCTTTTCAGCCAGTCAATAGTACACTGTGTCCGTAGGCATAGTATGTTTAGCAACACTTTACTGACGTCAATCTTCCTCTTGCCTGTTTTCGCTATAATTTGACCTTTTTAAGGACCAAGCACGAAGACGGCTTTCGGGTAGTGTGTGAGCAGGTGTCTCATCACCCGCCGATCTCAGCCTTTCATGGCGAAAGTGTAAAGGGCACTTACGTAGTCGAAGGGTGTGTCAACCCCCGCATCAAGTTTTGGGGACGGAGTGTCGAAATCAGACCAGAAGGTAGGCGAACGATGAGTCTGTTTTGTTTATTTATCTGACATAAACCCAGTTACATGGGTCACTAACTCAATTGAGACTGTTACTGTTAACGATTCATTTATAATACGTGCTTTATCAAATAACCTCCTGTATAATTCCGGATTGTGTTTTTAAGCGTTCTCGTTAACGCGTCCACCGGGTGCAGTTCTCATCCAGAATCAATCTTCTGATAAATAATTCGGTATAGTAAGAATAATATTACGCTTTAATTGCTAGTAACTCCAAAACGGCGAACTGGGATCGATCAGTAGGCATATGTATAGCTAATCTTTTGCGTGTTGCTAAATAATTTTTTGTTTTTTTTTTTATAAACATAAATAGAACTAACAGTCGAGATATATGTAGGTGTCAAAGTCTTTCAGTGCTAGCCGATTGTCTTCACTACTAATCAAGCTTGGCTGCTAATGGCTTTCAGCGTTAACTACTTCAAATGAAGCCTTCAAGCAGACTCTTAAACAACAAGTACAATTTTTAAAACCGCCTAGCACGATATTTCCGTCAGATACAAAATTGAGGTATTCTTTTATATGTAT